GTGGTCACGGGGTTTTCCCCGGGGGGCAGGAGGCGCAGGCAGGGGCAGGCCGGGGCAGGCCGCACCGCTCAGGTCAGGGAGAGGCACCTGAGCGTTGTGGTTCGCTCATTCATCCAATTTTTCCATTCATCCAGCAAACACTGCACATGCTGAGAGATCACTATGCAAACCAAACAAACAGCAATTAGAAACACTTAAGTCTGTGGGTGGTGAGGAGGCAAACCTGAGGGAGTTCAGGAAGTTAGCTTCGCTGTGGAAGTGTCAGGGAGTGTATAGTAAGGTTCTGCATGTGCGGGCTGGACCCAGGTAGAAACATTTCTTGTGGCACAGATGCGGCGTTGGTGGTTCTGTCGGGGCAGAGAAGAAGAGGGTGTGGAGGACGGGGTCAGTGGGGCCTCGTCACTGGGCTGGCCTGGTGGGGCTGTCCAGGGCCTTGTAGAAACACAGGCATGTGTGTGAGGAGGGCCTGGGCTGGATACGAGGGCCGGCTGCAACAGTAGGGGTCATGGGAGCCCTAGACCACAGAGCAAGGTGAGTTCGACGTGCCCTTGTGTGGACGCTGACCTCGCTCCGGGATGCACCCCGTCCCTTACGCACACACACTGGGTAGCCAAGCCACAAAAGGCTTAAAGGGAGGGGAAGCGTTTAAGGGAGAGAGCTAATCCAGAACTCCAGAGAATGTTTCCATTTCCTAAGCTACACGTGTGCGCCTGTGAGGCTCCCGTGGCCACGCAGCTGGGGCATCTCAGGCCCACGTCTGCCCTCCAGGTCAGTTTTCCTTCTCCTGCCCTTGTGGTCTGAAGCTCCACACACGCGCACAGCATCCCTGGCCTGGTGTCTGTGGGGGAGGTGTGACATGGGGACGACGTGGGTCAGCGTGGGGCCCAGTTCCGTGACTCGTGCTCTATGTAATGACAGGCCCCAGTTGTCAACACTTGCCAAGGGGACCCTCATATTCCAGCTGAGCCCTTCCATACACTTGCGCCCACAAACGTGAGCGGGCAGAGCAGTCTGGCTGGTGGGAGGACTGGCAGCCTGGGGTCCCAACCCCCGTCTCGGCCTCTCCTCTGGCAGCAGTGGATCTTGGCACCGCCACACGACTGAGCTCGGAGGGACTGCTACAAGGCTCTCCTCCGGACATGGCTCCCTCATGTGCGTGCCCTGTGGAGATAGATTCTTCTGCCTGATGCACCAATGCCAGTTTCACTGCCAACATTGCGAGGCCTCCCACCTCCGCATCCCCAGCAACTTAGTTACCCCATTTCTTGTCTCCCCAAGCCCTTGTTGCCCATCACTTCTGAACTAGGACCCAGAAGCTCACACTGCCCTGCCCCTCTACGCCCTTGGCTCAGCCTGGGTGGGCCAGGCTCCCTCCACCCCCCCACTCTGTACACCTCCCCTTGCTGACCCCAACCTCCATATCTTCCTAGGCCTGAGGCCGCTTCCAGCGTGACTCTGGGGAAGAGACCTGGTACTGCGTGGCTGTGGGCAACTCCCCCCATCTTTCCACGCATTCTTCCTTCTTCAGAAACTATTAGGTCACGCTCACACCGTCAACCCTCAACGAGAGCAGAGTGCATGGTTCATGTTACGTTCGCCTTTGCCGCTGTTCCCAACATGGAGCCCCCCACCCCGGGGCCCTGTTCAGAGTCCCGGCTCTCAATCTATTCACGCTGTGCAGCCTAATTAACCCCCCTTGAAGAGACACGGGAAGGGTTCCCCATCGGCGCTTCTTCCACACACACAAGGGAGCGAAGCAGAGGAATGCGGACGTAAAGACCGAGACCGTGTTCACACCTGCCTGGTAGGAGGGCTCACCTGGTCACTGGGTCTTGGGCACAAAAAGCCGATCTGTTGGCCGTGTCTCTGGGACTTTTGAGATTTTTTATCACTGATTTTAAGTAATTTGATTATTAT